AGGGACAACCATTGGAAATACTTGGACAGTTCTCAGCAGACGACAAGTACAACTATAGAGCATTGGTAGCTGCTCTACAACTCAGGTATGGAACTCAAAATCAGTCCGAAATCTACAAGGCTAGGTTTACAGCTAGAGTCTGTGCTAAAGGGGAGAGCCTGCAAGAGTTGGCACAGGATTCGGAAAATATGCCACCCAATGTCCTCAAGCTGTTGCTGATGGATCAGTTTGTAGACACCTTGGACAGTCCACAACTGAAGATACAAGTAAAGCAAACACACCCCTCTACTATGTAGGATGCAATGACTAGAGCTCTTGAATTCGAATCCTACGTTAAGTCCAGCACAGGGGTACCAAGGTTGGTACAGTCATCAGGATTCAAGGCCAGAAAAGGGAAGCTTGCAGAGAAGTTTGAGGGACTTTACTGGCACTGTAACAAACCTGGGCACAAGAAAGCTCAGTGCCGGCAACTTCAATACAGGGAAGATGCCATGGCAGGAAAGGCTGTTACCCAGAAAGGTTGTTAAAAGTGTGGAAAGAAAGGACATATGAGGAGCCAGTTTAAGAAGAATACCACCAATAAGTCAGCCTCAGGGAGACCAGTAATGGTTGGTACTGAGGGACACCCACCAAACCCCATCATGAAAGTCTCAGCAGCTAAGTGTAAAATGGCAAGCACACATAGTGTCTATGTGAAAGCTGGATGGCTAAAAGTACAACTTTGTCATAGATTCTGCAAACCCTTGTGAGTATCAAGGTGCTAAATCACAAAGCAGTACCACATGCCATACAGAAGCTCTGTGGTGTGACAGGACATTATACAAGGTTGTGGGGACCAGTGTGGGTAACTATTGAGCTCATGGGCATAAAGGATAGACACAAAGTATACTTGGCTGACGTTGTAGACCAATGCATATTAGGGTTGGACTACCTACTACCGAGGAAGTGTGTACTTAACTTTGATAAAATGACATTGGGGAACAACAAAGGCCAAATTCCGGTAAGTGTTAAAAGAGAGGTTGAACTAACCAGGTGTCATCAAGCTGAAGTCAAAGTGACTGAAGGAGCTGATGATGGTGAAGTGGAACCAAATATAGATATTAAAGCAAAACAGGAGAAAGACCAAGATTTGAGCCAATAATTGATTTTCTGAAAGCAAGTGTTTTGCACCCTGCTTGGGAGAAGGTGTCTAGCTTAAGCCCTGTGACAAAGAACTATTGGGCACAATGGGACCAGTTGAAGCTTTAAGACGGTAGTCTTGTCCAGAGATGAGAAACTGAAGATGGGAAAGTGACGACCTGTCAAACAGTTATACCAAGAAAGTTATGGGAAGTTGTGCTGCATCAATCCCATGACAGTTTAACAGGAATACATCTCGGAGTTAAGAAGACATTGAGTCACCTACAACAGAGATTTTACTAGATAGGTATGAGGCAAAATGTGGAAGAATGGTGCAGTACATGCAATACATGTTGGGCTAAAAGGGGACTCAAGCATAAGGGATGTGCTCCAATGAAGTTATATCAAGTAGGTGCACCAATGGAAAGAGTAGTCGTTGACATTGCTGGTCCTTTGCCCCAAACTCGTGCTGGAAACAAGTACATTTGTGTGTCGATAGATTATTTCAGCTGTGTTCCATGAATGCTGCAAGTTGTTTGGCATACGAAAGACCATGACAATGCCAAAATGTCCCAGAGTTCGTAAAAGTGTTATCTGAAAGGATGGATGATATTTACCATCAAGTGCATTCGAAATTAAAAACGTCTGCTGATTCCATGAAGCT